TCCGCAGAAGAGCCATGTGCGGCCGCACTCAGAAATGTGCGGACCGCAGAAAGAGAGAGATGCAGCCGCGGTTCAGAATTGTGCGGACGCAAGATTCCAATCCTGTCAAGATGAAGCAAAGTGTGGACCGCACATGGAATTGTGCGGCCGCAGAACCTCCGAAAGGGCAATTTTGTCCGAAATTTCCAGCACTGTATAAATACTAAAGAACCGGATTCTTTACCGTATTTCTTAAACTTGAAGTAAAGTAAACAGTAAAGTAAACACATCATTTTTTACGTAGAAAATCACCCGGTTCAAAAGATGCAAAAACCATGACTTACTACGTAAGATTTTCAACTGCAACTCCACTAGAACAATGAGCCAAAAATATATCAATTACAAAACTGTAATTCAATACTCTCGAGTACTCCTACTATGACTATTTGATTTACAAGTTACTCAAACTTGTAAAGCAAACACTCACTCCAACTTAGTAATTGTTAGTGGCACTTGATTACAACTCGAGTTTCTAAAACACATTTGCTAGAGTGACTCAAGAAGAATACAATACAGGTACTCGACTAGAGCGAACAACATATGATTCTTCAGTTAATGTGTAAAAGGATAAAAACAGAAGTCCAAAGTAGATAATATTAAACGCATAGACTTGAGATCTTCTAGGAGTCCTATACATAGTGAGCTTCTCCTTTGATAGGACTTATATTGTTCCAAGGACTCCACAAGCTTTGGGACTCTTGTCTCTGACTGAATTATCCATATCTTCTTGAGCAACAACCCTTATTACATGTAGCAGCCTTCTTCCATCAAACTCGGACATGGATAACTTTGAGATAAAGTTATTGTCTTGTACAGACGCACAATCATCAACCAGAGGAACTGATCCTTTATCCTGAGGAGCTGGTTCTTAAAACAGTTAAGCAGCTATGTTGAGGACCTGATTCTTTGAATCATTATATTTAAACATACTTTGTTAATCATCAAAATCTCAATACTCAACAAACATTAAGAAGCTAAGCACGTACTAAGAATTTTTATTTCATAGAAAATTACAAGCATCAATAATAAACGTTCCTTTTCATTCCCTAAAGTTTAAAACAAAACCCTCCCCATACATCTGATTCATAGAATTCACAAAGTACTAATTGTTACCCAAGGGTAGCCCGGTACATAATATATCTCGCGTTCATGCAGGGTCCAAGAAAGTGCCGCACCCCAATGGATGTAACGTAGACAGTCTACTGTTTCTACGACTCGAACCCGTGACCTATAAGTCACACAGAAACAACAAGTACTAACTGTAGCCTTTTCATTAAATTTTGTGTCCACCGTAACGCCTTTGCCTTCGCTGAAACGAACGCAAAGCTGCTACGAAATCAGCTTCATCCAATTCAGGAAAGAACTTATCCACAAAGCAGAATTCACTATAAGCCAATTGCCACAACATGTAGTTGCTAATCCTTAGCTCTCCACTAGTTCTTATCAGTAAATCAGGATTAGGATATTCTAAATACTTAGTCTCTAATTCTGTGTCAATTAATTTGTCATTGATATCCTCTAGTTGAATAACTCCATCCTTAACTTTGGCAGCAATCTTTTTAGTTGCTTGTATTATGTCATATCTTCCACCATAGTTAAGTGCAGCCACAAAATGAAGTCCTGTGTTGTCCTTTGTGGTTTCCTCGGCGTGGTTTATCGCTTCTTTCAGAGAATTGGGAAGGTTGGACTTATCACCAATAACAGACATTTTCATTCCATACCTACAGACATTACTATAAGTACAACGTGCAATATCTCTGAAAATATTGTAAAGGGAAACAAGTGAATATAATGAGAAAGTAGTAAAAGAATAGTAAATTCATGACCATTGCAATAATGAGCAGTGTTGTGAAGAGCGTGAAGCGAGAAAAAGCGACAACCCCCATTTCGCTTAAAGCGAGA